AAAATAATATAACGATTTTTTTCACGTGTTGAGATAACAAGTAAATAGGACTCATTTATATGGAATCCAAAATACTTTATATAACTTACAAGAATTAAATTAAAAAAAAGTATTCGAATACTATCGTGTCCATGACTACCGTTCATCCGCATCAATATTCCAAACCGAAACACCAATAATAATTTATTAATTACATTTGAACGTTGTTCGGCAGTTTAAACACGTGCTCTCTACGTCACATTTCGTAGACTAGGCAAAAACGGTAATCGAACTGAATAATTTACTTGTGTTTATTGAGCCGTGTATTATGTTTTGCCTTCTGCGCAATACAAATGGAATCGGCCAGCCAAATTCGCTTTCTCCACAAATTACTTATCTATTTCGTTACTTTATATTTCACATCCAGTAAAATCCCTCCGATGCGATCTCCGAAACTTGTATCACTCCATTCTTTTTTCACGCTTGCCCAAACCATCTATATCTGTTCTCGTTGATATTCCCCCATCGCTCACGTACTCACTCCACGCATCCATCTTAACATTTTCCATTTCGGTGACTTCCATATTCTTTGTTCAGCGCCAAAAATGGATTTTCGTATAACATTATATATTTCTCTGTAATTCCTCCTTTACCACCATTTTATGCAATCATACTGAAAATACTGATCATATGATGTGTGCAGATCACGAATCATCTGAATTGCCTTCCCCGTTCATGTGTAATAATTATAACCCTATTGGAAATAGGGACAAAGAGATGGGGACGTAAATAGATAAATGGAGATTTGGGCTGTTTGATTCAGATGACTTAACCTATTGCGTGTGAAATTAATAAAAAAAAAAATACTTTACTTTACAAGCGGTAAATTACAAGTCTCAAACCGAGTATAGTATTTGTTTTTAGTAGCTTTAGAATTTTAAAAGGTTTACCGCTCGTGGAAAAGCGAAAAATAAGTAATTAATGTTGTGTGACCTAAAAAAATACACATTGTCGGAGTCGACAATGGCCGATGCGTTTTATTTCTATAGCCTTAGTAATAACATTGAGTGTATATTGTACAGAGAAACAATGTTAACAAATTTTGGTTGCACGTGATATAGTTTTTTTTGGTATTTTTTTTTTACAAGAGGAAAACGACTAATTTCTAATACTGATGATTTAAAAAAAAAACCCAAACAAAGCATGAATATTGAATATTTACCGGCTTTGAGATAACGCGATTTTTATAAACAACGTTAATACAAATAGGGAATATACATAGGAATGTTTGGGGCTATCGCATTTTTTTAATTAACTTCACATTTAACCAAAGGTGTCTTTTAACAAGACGAACTAGCACCGGTATGTCAAATAAAAGCTTTAGCGGACAAACAAAAGTGGTTTGGAAAAAAGCATATTGATTTTTTTAAATTTTATTTCAAACGCTGGAAGTCCGTTTAATTTTTAATCGGCATTTACGTTTTAAAAATCGGCTACGCATGTACATACATTATTAAATCTATATACACATACATAATATATGCATAACGGTGGCCTAACCCCCGAGAGTAACGCGTTATGAATATTTACTAGATCATGATTAGTACGCGATGGTAGTATAATATTATACAATTTATATGGACACAACGATCGTCGTTTAAGTATACACTATAAAGTAACAATATTGGTTAATAATACCATATGAATATATTTTATTTACTAAATAAAATATCTTATTATTGGAGGAGGAGTGGCCGAGTGGCTATGGCGGCAGTGTGTTTAGCGCTCATTGTCGCCGGTTCGACACTCGGCCACGGGCGCTCCCCGTTAGCCGGGCGAGCAAAAGAACAAACCAAATTATAAAAAAAATAATTTATAATATTAATTTAAGCTCAAATTTGAAAGAACTCACATAATTGCAACTGCACGAAATTCAACGAAAATTGATAACTAACGTACAATTAAAAATAATTGGGAGTTTTTAAGTTGATTTCAATAGAAAAACTATTTCAACCCATTAAAAATCGTAAATTAAACATTTTAAAAATATTGATTTAAGAAATTTAATTTCCAACTTGTTATAGTCGATAAGTTAGCATTTAATAGGTAATTTAATAGGCCTATTTAATAGGTATACGAGTGTTATAATATCTCCCTCATAATTTTTCCAACATTTTAGAAAAAAAAATGTTTTCAGATTATTTTTTTTTTTTTTAGTTAAGAAAATGAGAAATAGAGCTAGACGATAATATTACCCTTCTAATGACTTTCTTGAAAATTTAATTAGCCAGCTACTGACGGTACGGATGAAATCATATTTCCAAAGTGGCAATTTATGCAAATAAGCTCGCCTCAGCTGTTTATTATTCATAATTAATTAATTAATCAATTGCATGCACTTGAACAATTATTTTACCGCATTGTGTGCACTCAAATTAAAAATGATAATACTATGTTTTTGTTTTTTTTTTTGTAGCTTATGACTGTGCAGGTGATTTAAAATTAATTTGTCGTACTACAGAAATGCTTTGAAGAAAACCCTATAAAATAGTTTCGTTCTAAACTATAAGGCAAAACTATGTTGTGTAATATAATAATTCAACGAAATACTTATCTATACAATAATAACTGTGCAATTTAGTAAACATGGTTTGAATAATTTATTCTTTAATTCATGTACGTTTTTTAATTTTGATAATTTTGTTTGTTTTATGCTGTTTTTGTTTTAATAAATTTTTTTTTTCAACCTTACATTACATCGGCTTAATTAAATTCAACGGATAAAAACGAACGTTGTAGATTTCTTAAATTGGTATTAACTAATCACTTTCAGTGTTACACTTCAGTGTTTTTTGAAATCCGAGCAAAACTTTTTTTGATTTATGACATTAGGTACCATTTTGCCTGACATAATATTATATACATTCGAATTTACATACATTTTGAAGATGTTTTATTTTTAACAACGAGAGCATTACGGAATGGACAATAAATATTTAAACATTTTAAAATACTCGAGTAGGGTATATTGTTCAAATGCAATACACGTGAGAACGGAACAAAGTAAAAGTCGTACATATTTTGAGAACCAAAGTCCAAATATAAAAGTAAAAACGAAGTTTCAATCCCTCGGGGAAGGGTTGACATATTTACTTGTTTTTTTTAACCGCAGATAAGTAGATTTATAACAAAAGAGTACACTTAATAATTTTAAACTATTTTGAATACCGTACTAAGTTTTTTTTTTTCATTCGAACATGAAATCTTAAACTTATTGTTGGAACGATGGATTTAGCTCATGGCTTCTGAGATTATTTAAACCATACACTGGTTGTGCGCCACTATATAGTTTTCAATGAAATGAAACGCAGGTACATAAAACGTCCCGTACATAATATTTTGCTCAAAATTGAATTTTGTTTCGCGTGGTTTGTTTTTAATAATAATTTTAGAACGCCCGTAATTTATATTTGGATTGTTGTTAATTAACAACTCTGCAAAACGCCCACTTATGAAATCAATATAAACAATAATACATATACTAATTAATATTCACAACGTTCATTGTTTGCATTTCACTCGGTAAATACAATCAATTGGTTTTGCATGTAGTTCCATACCTGGCGTTAACATTATGATAAATATTTCTCGGAAGTGTCATTTTGGCCGGCTAACTCTTTTTTTAATTTACCAACCTAAAATCAGAATAAAAACAACAAGTTAAAATAAAAACATATTTTTAGAAAATTAGTGGTTTTTTAATTTTTTTTATTTTTATTTTAGTGTTGGAGAGAATGTCGGCTTACATTAAAATAGAATGTTTAAACGCAAATTTTCGGGCCGTTCTCTCCAGTTTAGGAGATTGCTTAGGTTCGCTTATGGTTAGTCATATGTTGAACTGTACTATACTATGTACCGCTAAATAACTAACCTTATGTTTTGAATAATAGTATAAATGTCGTTTTTGTCCACTGAATATTGAGTCTGGAACCTCTGTTCGGCAAAAAATATAACGATTAACCTGCCGGCACTAGGAAATATTATTATTATTTGACCTATATTATATTTTTCAATGTCCAGATCGTGCGGGGGATAAGAGACTTCATTTCGCATTAAATATTGTCCTCGGGGGCTTAGGGTTTTTTGACACGGCAAGACGCGTACACGATTTATACACACTCATTGGCGTTATTTATGTGCCTTATATGCGACCGCCTTTTTTCTGGAGGTTTTTTTTCTTATTTTCTTGCCTTCCAACAACATAAAGTCTCGTCTGTGGTTTCCATTAGATAATGGCATGAAAAAGTCAATCCGTAAAATGTGGTGGGCGACGGCTGGGAAAAGAGTGAGAAATTCTTTATTTCGGTTTGCATCCCAAAAACGCAACAATATTTCCCCACTACCTTATGTTGTCGATATTTCTATAGTCAGATTCGACAAAAGAAACCCAAGCGCGGAAATAACCAGTTTGTTTAATTTTCCTTAAGCTCGACAAATACGTCTTGTTATTTATCCGAAAATATGGGTTTTTTGGGTTTAGGATGTACGTAAGCCCAACAAACCCCAAAAAATTAAACTGTGTTAGGTTTTGTTATGGTATGAAAAAATACCGAATTTCTGTCGGAGGAATTAAAATTGAATCATGACCAAGCCCTCTCACTTTAGATCTTGCATAATGAAATAGGTAATGTTCCGATTGGGACAAACCATTTTTTTATTAACACATATTAGTGTTAATATATGAGCATTCAGTATACAGTAATGATGTTAGTTAAAATGCAAGAAATAATAACGATGGCAATTTGAACCAGAAGAAGTAGCTGTGTTAAGATAAGTCACGTCAGCTGTTATCGCTGATTTTTCGTCTATTATCGATCATCACTTGTCGGCTTATTCTGTTGTCAATAACAGAATTATCAGTCATCCCGGAATTCCCTTTATCCCTGAATCAAGGGATCGATTTGCTTTTATCGAAATTACATACCCCCTTTTGACGGTAAATGTGTTGTTTGCTTTTCCAGTGCCGGATCACGTCAGGCCTAGGGTTTGCAGTCTGCCGGAAAAACCCTACAACCCCAGGTCCGGTGACGAGCTATACCGCCTGAGGACCTTCAGCATAACCAACAAGGGCGGCGTTGTCAATTGCGGCGACAGCATCATCAACAGGCGGTCTCGGAGCAACACCAGTGTAAATTCTACAGCCAGCAAGTGAATATTAACTCCATACTTATATTTTGTATTTATTTATTTTTGATAATAGCGTCGGGCCACGGAATTTCGCTAAAATACACGTGGGCGGTTAAGCAGTGAAAATAATATGCAAGAGTTCAAAAAAAATCCAGTTTTTTTTTTAATTTTTTATTTAATCCCGACTGCAAATGTAAAGTATTTTCATGAAAATACGTGTTTTTTTTTTAATAGGGTTTATAATATTATATATAACCGTAAAGAACTCGACTGGTGTGATATGAAACACAAACATTTTGTTGAAGTTGTTAAAACTACCAACCTTCGCTGCTAAAATGCTAATATTTTACAAACTTTTAGCGGAATTTTCTTTTTACTTTCCTATTACTCTTAGCCGACCTCATGCATTTATTTATTTCTAGCAGTCTCAACTGATTTTCCAACAATTACTCGCTATCAATTAATACATTAACAAAGTTAAACTGATTATATACATACATAGTATTTAAACGGAACCACGTTTTAATAATTTAAATACTGAAATTATTATCGTCAAAAATTGTTCGTTAATTATTCATTATTCTTTTGAGAACGTTAATTATGACTAATTTATAACTTTAAAAATAAAAAATAACCACATTTAATATCATTTTTAAATCCAGAGTAATTCAATTCAATTTATGCTACGTATTTGTCAGTAACTAATAATTTACGTTAAACAAATTTAATATGCAAATTTATGCTAATTAGTTTCAAATTGTAACTAGAGAAGACAGCCGTTCATTTACTTGTTATGTATGGATTTAATTTTAAACCATATGCTACAAAAATATATTTATTAAGAATACAATGTATTTTTTTCATAAGGAACCTACTTGTCGGTTGGCACTTATAACTATTAGCAAGACAAATGGAGTAAAAATTGTTTACATTATTTTGTTTTCGAGGCGTTGTATTTTAGACTTATCTCAATATCAAACCTTTCTTTTATTAGAGAAAAGAAAAAAAATACACGTTCACCGCATTAAAATTCCATGTTTTTGTTCTTTGGCTGTGTGTGTGTATGAATCAATAGTAGAGGACCCTTGTTTCAACTTTTTATTTATTTTTTGCACCTGGCACCCCCTTGATTCCTTTATTAACTTAAAAAAAATAAGGATGTCAAGTTTCAACTGCATTGAACGATGAGAAAACGTGCCCCTGCTTCCCTGCATTCGAAACACCTCTCGTATAGTGACTACATTAGCCACATAATAAAAAAAATTAAAATTAGTGATTTTAGTAAATATAGCACAATTTAAACAGAAAATAATGAGGTATTTTTGCTGTTTTATTAGAAAGTTTTCCCAATTAATATTTCTTATATGAGTCAAAATGCATTAGCAAATTCAAGCATAATTTATGTTTCTAGTAGGGTGTTCTCGTCGGGATTTCAGTTTGAGGGATTATTATAAAAATACATTTTTTCATATTTTCGAGATATTATTAGTTATACCTTATTATTGTTCTATGTTTAAATCATTATACCAGCGGTATAATAATATGTTGCGCCATTTATCGACCCCGATTCGGTCAAATGACAAGTATGTGCGGTTGTTTCTTGCGACTATGGTGTCTTTTTCTCAGAGAACTTTTCAAGCAGAATAATCCACTGTACACACATGGCCACTACAAAGGACAACAGATATGCGCATTTTATCGTACAACGTCTGGGCATATAGTTTATTTTTCAATTCTTTCGACGTAGGTACCGCAACATTATTTTATACTCAACGATTGGAAAATGGAAAATCCAATAGGGTGTTTTTCTTATTAGTTTTCCATGAGTTATTCCGTTGAAAGGCCAACAAATGTAAAAAGTATATATATATATATATATTATTCTACCTTGTATTTTTTTTTATTAAAACTCGTCGATAGTATTTTTTATTTTTTATTTTTTTTTGTAATCGTTTATTTGTATTATGCGCACACAAAAAGTGATAGAATACAATTCCCTAAACGGATGTTCAGTGAAGTGTACGGGTGTAGGTACCTCTGGATTGCTCAATTTGTTAAAAGCAAATCGCTGTGTGTGTTTTCTTGTTACGAGTGCTCTTTATGGAACTTCTCAGCCTTAGAGTTTGACATCGAATAAACAATAATGACACGACCCCACAGTTTGCAATCCTGGATCAATCGTTCGGTTTTGACGTTTTATTTGATGTGCACATAATATTCAAATTTTGACGCCACTCGTGTTGAATATAAACATAACGTACTTGTCTTGTTTAATGAAAAAAAAAAAAAATACATCAATCAAAACATATAAAAAATAAAACGTCTAACGATATTAGACGTTGTTAAAAAACTATTTGGTCTAAAACCAATTTTTATATTATTGTCAATATTCAATTTTCAACTAGACTTGATTTTTTTTTTACTACTTCATAAAATGCCAGAAGAAAGTTTGTATGCTATTGTTATGGCATGTTCATTGTTAAGTTAAACTTTTTATAATATTGATTTAAAAACAAGCATATAAGCTACGCTGTTGAATAAGTCTTGGAAAAAGTTGCAAATTAAAATGTTTACTTTAAAAATGTAATTACGTTCTTCTGGTCACACTGCAGCTCGTCTTTTAGCTTACTTCACAATATATTCAAATGTATATTCAATGATATTAAATGTATGTATTGTGACCCCCTGGGTGTATATCTAAATATGTTTTTGTTGTCATTCGAAGTAAGTTATAATGTGAGTTTTACTTATAATGTATGCTGTTTTGTAGCTACTCTTTTAAATAGTGCATTACAAAATTATATATTCTCTTTGACGTATCAGTTCAATAGAAAAAAAAGATAAATATCCGTTGTTCTTACTCTTTTATTTAATTTCATAAACATTTTGTTTGATAATTTGCGAGTGGCATAAATTATTGACAAGACCGTTGTCGTTCCACTCATTTGTTAGGTTAATTCGTTGTCGTTGCAAGTAAGTATTATAAAAGCTTTCACAGATTCCAAAATCGTGTAGTTCGAAAAAAATGGTAATTTTAAGAAAAATCTGTTGTGCTGGATCGCAGGTGCACTATATAGTTGTATTTGCGCCTTTTCGTAGAATTAATTACTACCATATTCTTTAATTTGGCGCCATTGTTAATAATTAAAAAAGAAAAAAAACGACTCGCTGTTCATTTTGGCTTAACTATATACTTCTCGCAGAATGACTGCTAATATATTATTAACATTTTTTGTCTCTTCTCTCAGCTGGATTACATTTTTTTTTTTAATGTTATGTCGCCCAAAAAAAGTTTCTTATTTTTAAAAAAAAATCAAATGACAATATTAAATTGTCGTAGCTATAGTACCTATAGCTAAATGAGCAATTTAAATTGGAACATTTGTCCTTCAAGGTTTTATCAAAGATAATTGATACATGAAGTTCCGTACACGCATAATTCGATATTAATTAATTTACTAATAATTATCATGTAAAAAATGCGGATAATAGTCTGCCAACGTGTCATGTTGCTATGTGTAAAAAGATCAACAGGTATAAGAAGCACATTGTTTTTCTTTACAATGTCGTCGCAATGCTGTGTATAGTAAAGACGGCAATAAATTATTGTTGACAGACGATCAACCCAAATCGATCCACCGTATTACTTTGACATGGGTTTCAAGGCACATTTTTGACTTTACAATGACGTTTATCGACATTTAATTGATTCGTACCGTCTACTGAGTAATTTTAGTGTGATTTCTTCGTTCTTGTTTCCTGTATAGACCTATGACTATCATGATGCGTTCCACATACTCGACGATCAGCCACAAGTGCGTACGCGTGTATGTGTATTGTTATTCGTGGCTGTACATAAGCTTTGGTTTTTTTTACCATCCCGCCATGATAAAACGAGACGGCATCATAATGCCGTTTACTTCAGCGAAACGGTGCGTCGTAATTTGTTTTATTATTCTCCGCTGGGCGTTGAATAGGCGAAATGGAAATGTCTTCAACCATCTCATTGTCTCTCCCCGTAGTTTAGTTTTCGAGAAATTTATCTCTCCTTTTAGGGGTTTTTTTTTTTATACCTACTCATTTCTCGTTTGTTTCGGATGAGCCACACCGACGATTTACAAACCGAACACACCTTACAAAATATCGTGTTGAGCACTAACAGCGGTCGTGATTGATCGATCAAGGCGGACGGGATTCGTTTTTCGCCACGAACCCGCGCACCGAAAACTTTGCATAGAAGATAGGGACAATGTGATGTGAATTTTTTTTTTTTTTAATTAAAAATCTGCCGGCAAATCCGTGATATAATAAACCGGGCTCGCTGGCCGCGACCAACCCTTTAACTTTTGTTTATTCGCCTAATTAAAATAATTATTTATGAATGGCATTACAAAAAAAAAAAAACGCACGACGCCGAAATTAAAAATATTTACATCGAGTAAGGGCGGGTAAAGGCGATAGAGATTGGCTTTATTCCGAATAAATTAAAACTATATCGATTATAATTTATAACACTGTTAAATATTATATAAATAGTAGTTTGTTCGAGGCACGTGTACCTACTTAATGATCGAAAGACCAACGATATTAAACGCCATAAGTAAAAGATTTGTTTTTTGAAGATTGTACTTCTCTATTATAAAAAAATTCAATTGTCATTGAAATACAGAGTGACAACGTTGGGCAGTTATAAAATGAAGATATAACATGCAAAATTTATTTTCAGCTTTAAAATAACACAATATATGTGTCTAGTTTATAGTCGGTAGGATAATTTAAGGAAAGTCGTCTGTGACACAACAAATAATAAATATCCTATCAACTAGAATGTTTCCTAAATTTAAAATCTTATTTATTAGTTTTTTTTAAGTAGTTTATCATCAAGTGTGTGTTTTTTAGATAATTATTTTGTCTTCAAACGAGAATTCGTAACATTAATCCCTGGTGCTTAATTTTACAGGAAAATCACCCAGGGGAATAAAATACAACGAGAAGTTGTCCAATAATAACCGATATAATAT